GGGCGCGAAAAAACGAGCACATACCGACGATCGTCGGGCTATGGAGCCGCCGATCGTCAATATGTGAAACACCCGGTAACGGTGTTTGCTTTGGTCTGGTCTTTTCTGCCACGCGCGAGCAGAAAAAAAATGCCGTCGGGAGACGGCAACCCACCAATGCTGCAGTGCCGTCCGTCCGTTTTTTTACAACGGGCAGACGGCAAGTGGTTAAAGAGGAATTTTACCCATATCTTTTAAATGACAACAGATACACCTTTAGAAATGATTAGTAATCACAATCTACAAACACATACGTGTAGATAATTGCCGGCTTTCTATTCTTTGCATATCTTATTTTTCTTTCCCTTCCCATTCGTCTTACAGTGGCCATTTTTACAGAGGGCAGATTAATGTATGCCCTTTACTTACTGGAACTCGGGCATGGTCACATGTCCCAGTCACATGTGCCAATCATCTCAGGGGAGGAAAATGCCTTTCCTTACAGATTACAGATGAGATTTCCCAGCAATGCTCTGCTGATGCAATCTTCCCAGGATGAAACGCTTGGGCACATTACATTACAAATGCCCAAGAGAACCAGAGAGTGGAAAAACAGTAACTGTAAGTAAAAGCAAAATATGTTTCTTTAACTAATGAATGTAAGATTATTTAATATCAGCATGCAGAGCTGCATGCTGATTTGATTTTTGTGAAAGGGGGTAAAGGTCCACTTTAAGAAAACACCCAGAGATTAATTATCATCTTATTACAGCAAATTGGGGGGAATTTATCAAAGCTGGAGCAGACGAATTCGGGAACAGATTTGCACTGCAACCAATCAGCTTCTCTGTCTCATTTTAAAATCTTACCTGAGTAAACTGAAGAGAGATGCTGATTGGTTGCCATGGGCAACTGCTCAACATTCTGTCTACTCCAGTTTTGAGAAATTCCCCCCCTGTATATAATAGGTGCTAGGTATTTTTAGTAAACATTTTGTTCTACTTACTGTATTTTTTTCAGTTTGTAAAAGGCAGGCTAACAATCCCAAAGTCAACTTGTTTATTATATTATACCTCCAACTAAAATCTAATTACTAACTATAATTTCCTATATTGAGCCAATTAAAATTTTATGTCCCCATAACCCGAACCTATGGAGTCCAATTTTCTCCAGTCTAAATCATGCTTCCCTTATAGCAATATCCATTATCTGTATCCTTGACAAGGCCAATCATTCTACACAAAGTTGCTTAACATGAAATAAGATTTGGAGTCTCTGAATTTTTTCAGTGGAAATGAAACAGTTGTCTCCTTCCTAGTTTTAATCCAAATATAACCTCACTACTTGTGATTTATTTGCATATTTGCACAAAAACATTTCATGGTTAAACATATTATAACACCATTACAAATAAATGTTTATTCTTCTAGTCTTCTTCTCTCTTCTAGTTCAAACAGCAGTCATTTGCAATTTACAGGATCTGTTAACTAGTGCAGAGGCAGTGCTCGGCTTTCCTTTTTGAAAGCCCTGTATTAACAGAGAAGTAACTGTATTAAATGTTAACTTGTAAGATAGAAATTGTATGTAAATAATACAGAAACTGTAAAAAAAAAAAATCAACATGTATATTCAAAAAAATTATTTCAAAACTGACCATAAAACATGATTGTTTCCCTTCAAAATAGTTATACAATGCAGGGCTCAAAATTTCCACTCGCCCCCTCGCAATTGGTGAGCGAAAATTGCGTGAGGGCGAGTGGAAATTCATCTGGGGAAGGGGTGCCGCAGGCAGGACCAGCGGGGGTGAAAATACCGATCGATCGTTTGGTTCTGTCTTCTGTGGCCGGAGTGAAGGGAAGACAGCCGCACTGATTATTTTGCTCCTCCGCGGCCACTGCAGCTACAGAGCGGCCGAGGAGGAGAAGAATCAGTTCGGCTGTCTTCCCTGCACTCCGGCCACCTGCAGTTTCCTCCGCCCACCTCAGCTTTCATAGGCTGGGAGGAGGACTGCAGCTGCTATTGGCCGCCTGGAAGGTTTTGCTGCGCAGGACCTGAAGGATACATCTCTGTCACCCTCCCCCTGCACCAGTACCACCACCAGTACCAGTACCACCACCAGCACCAGGAGAGGAAGATGGCAGATCAGCTATGTGCATTGTAAGTCCCTGTTCTTTCTGCAATACACCGCTGACCTATGTGCGTTACATTACTGACATCTGCACTGCTGACCTTTGTGTGTTACATTACTGACCTCGGTACTGTGTTTTACATTACTGTACTGTGCGTTACATTACTGACCTCTGTACTGCTGACCTCTGTCCTGTGCATTCCATTAATGACCTCTGTACATTACTGACCTCTGTACTGTGCATTACATTGCTGACCTCTCTACATTACTGTACTGCTGACCTCTGTACTGCTGACCTCTGTACTGTGGGTTACATTACTGACCTCTGCACTGCTGACCTTTGTGTGTTACATTACTGACCTCGGTACTGTGTTTTACATTACTGTACTGTGCGTTACATTACTGACCTCTGTACTGCTGACATTTGTACTGTGCATTCCATTACTGGGCTCGGTACATTACTGACCTCTGTAATGTGCATTCCATTACTGATCTCTCTACATTACTGTACTGCTGACCTCTGTACTGCTGACCTCTGTACTGTGGGTTACATTACTGACCTCTGTACTGCTGATCCCTGTACTTTGCGTCACACCGCTGGCCAGCTGGAGTTAAGGCCGGGGCAGGGGAGGGATTAGGTGGGGCAACTGGTGGCGAGTAACTCTTAAGGCCTGGCTAGTAGCTCAGGGCCTGAAATTTTAAGCCATGACATAGTGTATATTTTTTTTAAATCTAGCCTTTTAAGATAGGCTCCAGTCAGATATAACATTTTATTTTTAAAGTAGAAATTGATCTTTAAAGATAAACAAATGTATACAGTTTGTGGTTCCATATCCACAGGACTTACTTAATACTGATAGCATACTCCCCGTTGTCCTTCGTTCTGTGTCGGATGAGGTAGGTGCAGTTCTCTCTGTTCATTAGTTCACTCTCAGCCTGCACTCTCTCCATAGCACCTGCATACCTGGGGAGGCAAGATTGCAGATGTGACAACAACACCCTCAATTTCATGTAAAGGCATCACAGGGAAAGGAAGAAAAGAAAAAACTTCCCAGTGGAATCATAAACAAACATAAAAGCCTGACAGGAAATTTAATTCTTCCAGACTCTATCCAAAACACAAAACAACTGGGCTAGAGTTGTCTTTAAGTAAATCAGGGTCCATGAACTCTGGCACTGAGATCTATGAGCTAATTTAACATATTCATCCTCTGCTGTAAACTTTACAAGGTTTCTCTCATTTCTAGATTCCCCTCTTATTCTACTTTATTTTATACTTTTTTTTCCAAAACCCTACTCCGGGGGTGCCCACAATTTTTCATCTGGAGATCTACTGTTCAAATGACAAGCTCAATGAGATCTACCAATGAAAAAAACACCTTTATTTAAAAAAACAAGCACAATAAAATTGTTACTGGGACTACTGCCTCTCGCTCTCTCGCACGCGCTCTCCCCTGTATCTTTCTCTCTCGGGGCCGGTTCACACCACAAAGTCTGCGTTCCAGAGCGTTTGGCTTCTGGAACGCACGCCGACCGGCTCCCTGAGTTCAGAGGCGGGAGGGGGTGTGGCGGTGCATTGAAGTCAATGTCACCCCAGCCCCGCCCCCAGTGCGATCACTCTCGGTCCAGTGCAATCTGCAAAAATGCTGCAAGCACTATTTTTGCAGACCGCACTGGACCGGAACGCGGAGCCCTGCGTTTTGGGTGCAGGCGATCGCACTGCGGGTGGGTGGCGCGGCTGCAGTGCCATTTACTTCAATGCACCTCCACGAACCCTCCCACCCCTGTACGCAGTACGGAGCCTGCCAGCTTGCGTTCCAGAGGCCGAACACTCTGGAAAGCAGACTTTGTGGTGTGAACCGGCCCTCTCTCTTGGCTGTCTCTTCTCTCTGTCTCTCCTCATACTCTCTCTCCTCGCTCTCTCCCATCTCTCTGCTGTATCTTATCTCTGCTGTCTCTACTCTCTCTATGCTGTCTCTTCTTTGCTGTCTTTTCTCTCTCTCTGCTGTCTCTTGTCTCTTTCTGCTGTCTCTTGTCTCTCTCTGCTGTCTCTTCTCTCTCTCTGCTGTCTCTCATCTCTCTCTCTGCTCTCTCTCCTGGCTGTCTTTCCTTACCTGCACTGCAGCGGCTTCCCAGGTCTCCTCTCAGGTGCGGTGCTCGTGTGGCCTACGCTGCAGATGGGGAGAGGTGTCCGGCCCCTTCCCGCCTGCAGCGTCTGACACATTTAGCCACACTAGCAACGCGGGAGGGAGTTCAGGTCAGTGAGCCGATCGTGATCTACCAGTGTTTGCTTTGCGATTGACTGGTAGATCACGATCGATGGGCACCTCTGCCCTACTCCATAGACGCCATGGTTTCTATAATGGTTCTATAATATTAGTCTAAATTTGCACTATATGCTAGTGTTTCTGGATGTGCATCTGGCTGATGGGGCATAAAGCAATGATTTGCATGGCTTTGCCCACTGTCCTGAAGTGAGGAATGATCCCCTTATTTTTGGGATATGAGATGAATTGAGAATTATGAATACCTTCTATTTTAAGATGGCTTTACTGTGCTATATAGTTGATTTTATTTCACACAAATACATCACTGGAATCCAATGGAAGTATAAGAAGAGATGAATGATTCAGCTCAATGACATCCACCAAAATATTAAATATCTGTTTTGCGTGTCCAAGGCCACTGACTAGATACAAATGTGAGGTGAACATGGAGACTTGTATATGTTGTCACTTCATTAGATTAGATATCGCCTTAAAGATGGTTGTATACTATCACACATGAACTGAAATAGATTTTAGAATACATACCAGGGCTGTCCTGAGTAATCGACAGGCTTTCGAACCTGCCAGGACAGAAAGAAATCGAAGCTGTGAGAAGCATATAGAGGTTCCTTCCATTATTTAATCATTGCACAGCACATAACACCTCGTCAGTAGCACAACCTATAGATGAACTTCCCATGAAAGCTATCATAAACTCATTACAATTGATATTGTGGAAATGCATCCCATACACGTTTTCTCAAGCGTGAAAATACGGCCACATTTATTAGCAAGTCATCTGCAAACAAGCTAATATGTTTGACACCAGAGATTATAGCTGATTATAGCTTATGAACAACAAGTGCCATTTGAAGCATAACACATTAAGATACACTCAAGCTTACAGTAAATGTGCAGGAATCTATAGAAATGTAAAATATCTCCTGGTAAAAAGGGTTATTTTGGCAACTGCTAGGCAATTATATGTTTATAACAGTGATAGTGACTGCTGCACTAATGTGAAATGCCCAGCAGAAATCAGTAGAATGTATGTGCTTAAATGTTGCAATTTTGAAGGACAATACAAAATTATTACAGATAGCTAATCAATAATGACTAATCACTTGCTAGTGATACCAGCAACCAGTCTCTTCCCAATGTTTTTGGCAACCAGTAGGAGTAGTAGGGGTACGTACAACTGCATGCTCATTTCATGTAGAATTGTACACAGAAAAAAGTTGCATAATTTTCCTTGTTGTGGATGCAGGCACACATCAGCGAATTTCTGAATGGCCACACAGAAATCTCTAGAAGAGTGGCAACTCATTGAACTAAGACTCAAAGCATCCACAAATGAATATGGTTGTGAGGGTGTGTACTTGGCAGTTGGTGGACGGCAACACTTATTATGTATTGTAGCATTACGAGGCAATGCCACCATGTAATTTGGCAACACTGCCACCCAGGACTCTCAGCCAGAGGGGCCAAGAGATTCCAGAAAGAAAAGTCTTTTTTTTTTTTTACAGGGAAAGAGCTGTTTTTTTCGGTCTTTACAGTTTTCTAGAGTCTAGCTGGGATCTGGTTACCTGGAATCTTGGGAGGGATGAAATCTCCAATCCTGGGTCCAGGTGTTGCCAATTACCGACAAAGGCGGATCAGGTGGCTTCAGCCTTTTTAAGGAAGACTGAACCAGAGTTCAGTGGTGGATGGTAGTGTGTGGTAAAACCACATGGAGTAAACCTGGGCGTGCATGTGGTAGAGCCATATGGGAGACAGCCAGGGAGGCTGAGAGAGCGTTGATACTGAGAGCCGGTGATACACAGGAGGTGTGGAGCTACAGGAGTCACGCAGGAGGTGTGAAGTAGCTAAAGCCACACAGGTGTGTGGAAGCCGTTCTAGCTGTGCTGGTGTGGTAAAGGGTACTGAATGCTGCTGTGGGGCTGTTTCTCTGTTGGGAAGTATCTCAAAACCCTGGTGTTGGCACACCTTGTCTATGTGAGACAACCTTTAGTTGATGAGACTATTTATGTTTGCTAAAAGACTTTGTGTATTGTGTTGCTGATGAAAATCTCTTTCTGTTTGTAGGAGAAGAATAAAGACTGTCCTTTTATGTTGAATTGGCTTTGAGAGTGGTCACTAAGAACTCACCATTGTGCAATTATTCCAAGCATATCACAGTATACATTGACAAAAGTTTAATTTCTTATCCAATAATCATTAAGTGCTATAGTGGCCTTAAAGTAAATGTTTACCCAGACTATGGGCATTCAATTATTATGTATTTGTAAATGAACTTTTAAAAAAGCCCTCATTAGCCTCTGTAGCTGTAGGCAGTGTGGAGCAACTCGTCCTCAAAGTTCACAGCAGAAGCACTGAGAAGCACTGAGGTGGTTATCTCTCAGCAGCTCAGCTTTCCCTGCTACCTCTTCCAGCATACCAGTTCGGCCCTGGATTAGCTCTAAAAGTACAAAGAAACAGTGCTTTCATGGGGATAATGCCTTCTGCTGGATATAATTTCCAACAATCAATTGTTACATCAGCTGGGCAATAAAATATAGATGGACTATTGTTGTATAAGGAGCCAGTAAAGACCCTGAACTACTGAATACTTCAGCCATGTTCTGGGTAATGAACAAGTGTCTTAGGATTTTTAGACACGATTCAAAAGCCAAAATACATATTTCCACAACACAAACTGAAATGTACTGCAAAGTTCAGCTGAAGATTTTCCCTTTTCCTGTTCCAAACCTTATGTCAGTGCATGTCCCTTTCTTTAAACCTTTAAAAATATGTACAGCTTGTTAAACTTACACATGGACTTGGTTTAACAGCATCGCTTGGGAAAAAGCCAAGCTCCCCCGTGGCAATGTTCCTTCCCTGCAAGAGAAAAAAGTAAATATGACTATAACCTCTACAACACAAGCATAGATACTTGTATTTTTCAGTCTTTTAACAGGTACACATGCTTCTTATATTTTCTAACATTTGTAAAGGAAAAAAAAACCCACTATGATCCAATAGTATTACGCAAATAATCAAATAATATAGCTAATTAACAAGAACCTATATGTATCAATCTAATTGTCTAGATTCCAGAAATGCCTACCTGCCAGAACAAACTGTGTGCATCAGCCCTTAGCAGCTCTATGGTATCTCCAACCTGTATATTGAGGACTGGACCATCATTTATAGTTGGTGGTGGGTAACCATTGTAATTCTTTATAACTTGCACTTTTGGTAAGCCTGAAAGATATTAAAGGGGAAAAATATGAGAAAAACACTTGTATTTAAAATAGATGCATGTTTTTTGCAACTGCATTGATGCTAAGCAATGTTTACCTGTAACACTTTATCTGTTAAATAAATCATAGAACAACCTCTGTCAATGTAGTTTGCCTTTATCTACCATGCTCCACAAATGCCATCTTTGTTCATGAATCATTCAAGGTCAGCATCAACTTCCATTGCTGCCTCCTTGTTCCCAAACAGTACAAACATTTTTTGCACATAGCACATTCTTTCTGCTGCCTCACTCTAGGACCCGTCAGTGTAAAAGCACGTCACAGACTCAAACAGTTCAGTCCCCATGCTGTCTCTCACCCTGTGACCCACCAGTGTAAAAGTCCACTGCAGTCTCACAGTTGGTGCCCCTTCTGCAGATACATTGAAGTGAACAATGCTAAACTGAGAAGAGTTATCACTGAGGGGAAGGTAATAATTTAGCCATGTTTTTCCCACATTTATTCTTTATATCTACTGGAAGCCAAAAAATACTTATTCTATCACTGAACCTGAAAAAGCAACTCCCACAAATTGGTGAATTCATGAGGATCTAAACTAAGCCGGCCCCTTTTTGTGAAAGTAAAATCAAAATGCTTTAAAAGTATACTCAGTTGGGAGGTTAACAGTCCAGAAAATAGATGTCCCCCATTGGTTTAGGAAATATGAACACAGCTTACGGTATTGTAAAAATTAGTTTATATATTTATTTCATATGTAAATTTCTTATGATACTAAAGATAAATAGTATTGTACATAAAGAGCTGAAAGGGTGATACTTTTATATTCCTAATAACTCAAGTTCTAAAGCAAGCTGATATACACATCTGCCTATCAGTCATGTCCTTTATTATAGAAGTGCCAGGTTTAATTTCTAGGCATTGTAACAGGCAGAACAAGTTTATATTAGCAAGATAATGATTTGCTGACAAAGTCTCTAATTGGCACTGGCAGAAAACACAGCTGCTGTAAATGAATTTATGTTAAGATTAGGCGACATTCAACACATTACATTAGAACCCCGACTGATGCTCATTCATATGTCCCAATTATCTATGCAAATGTTGGTGAGGTGTTTCCCGTGTGGTCATATTTAACATATGGAAATTACACAAGCTGACTGCACTCAGGAAAAAAAAAACTAACAGAAGATGACACACTAATATATTATCAGAAGGACATTGTAGGAAGCATTCGCTTGGCTTCTATGATGATTCCAATTACTTAGTAAACACATCAATAACACATAAGTGATAATTATGAATGGATCCATAAGTCCCCTGCTGCAGCACATTACAGTGAGTAGGTGAATGTCCCTAAAATCTGAACAAATAAATACAAATGGAAAACATTTGAAAAGAATATGCAGCTTTAATATGTTGTTTTTATGTATTAAGTTCAGTACCAAAATGTTGTTTTAAAAATCAGTTAAATATACCATTTTAAAATTACTATTTGCAGCTGGAAGCTGGAAATCTCTATGCAAGTTCTATATCTTCTAAAGATTCTTTTTTACATTTGTTGTGCAAAAAATGGATGAATGGCTCCCCCCTCCCTGCACTACAAGAGTTAGTTCATTCATTTTACAGGAGGGATGAAGCTGTATTGCTTACTTAACTACCGATCTGGCGCATTCTACTTCTCCTTGACGCTCTGGGCTGTGGGCAGTCCCTCAGCTTCATCACATAGAATGCATGACAATTAATCCTGCACTATATGTGGAGAAGGCAACCATGCGACTGTGGCTGAGAGTGCCTTAGAGAGGAGGCTTTTGGGGGACCGGTAACACAGATGGAGGGAGCCTGTTAGAGTGAGGAATAAAAGTAGGTATCACTCCTTATTTGTCGATCCTAGATTTAACGAGCATTTAATCCTTGCAGTGTGTATGTAGGGGGTGGGGGCACTGCAAGGATAGTTTTTTTCCAGCCAAGAGTTCAGCTTTAAAAGAGGTATACATCTCTTTCTCTACTAACAAAAGCAGGAAATATGTTTAGTAGAAGTTTAAAGTGAACCTTTATTTTGCCCATGCAGGGTGAAGAAGTAGATTCATTTTAATGCCCCCCTTTCCAGTTGCACATACATATGTCTGGCAGAGCAGGAAAGGGGGGGGGAGACGCGCTTCTCCTCCTTCACCATACCAGGCCGCATGCCCTCCACATGGGGAGGGTGCTTTGCCAAGGGAGGGGCTCCCGAATGCTATTCGGAAGCAGAGCTATCATAATGATTCATTATGTTAGCTCTGCATTTGGGAGCTCCTGAATGCTATTCGGTTGTCCCCAATAGCATTCCGGATAATTGACAGCTCTACTCCCGAATGTCAACAATTTTGACATTGTTGACATTCGGTCAGAGTTGTCATTTAGTGGCGAGAGTTCGTCGCGATTGGTCATGTTGCCGAGTGTCAGGTTTTTTTTTTTCTTTCGGCGAGTCACCAGCCTCTGTCCATTGTGATTGACGGGGATCTCCATAGATGGATGACATGACTGAACTTTGGATTACAGCGATGGACACTTTTTTTTTTTAAATAAAGGACTTTGTATATGGTGTAATGGTGTGTTTATTTACAATTTGACAATTTGGTAAATGAGCAGGGGTAACAACTACCCCTCACTCATAAAAGGGGGGAGGGGGATCTGGGTGCCCTTTTTTTATGAGATGCCCAGATTCAGATGATTGAGACCGATGTCATGTGGTGGTCATGTAGAGGTCATGTGGCCTGGCATGCTGCAGGAGGGGGGCGCACACTCACCCCCTCCTTCATGCTCTGCCAGGCTGCTGCGAGGGTCAGGGCTCTGGTAAGGAATTTTAGGGGGTCCCCATGCTTTTTTTATTGTTTCTGTGGACTGTCAAAAGTTAAAAAGAAACTTCACTTTATTTATTTCTAATGTCACTTTGCTGCAACGAAAATGTATTCATAAATATTTAACTCATCCGTTATTAACGAAAATTTCAGATTCGTCTGAATCCAAATCCCAAAACGAATTGACTTTCAGAATCACGAAAAACGAAATAACGAAAAAGCCGAAACTAACTGAACCAAATTTTTTGCCGGCGCACTTGTCCAATTTCTTGCACTCCTCTCACACTCCGTTTAGCCACTGGGAGCAAAAAAAAAACAGACAAGTGTAAGTGCTGAGTCACCCCAGTTAGAGCTTAAACAGAGGACCCTGCCTCCACTGGGCTAATCACCAAACACAAGCACTACCACATTGTGTAAGACACATGCTCCTCCTTACCTGGAAGTACAAAGTACATTCTTGGTGCCAAGCGGCTAAAAAGAACAGTGGGGGAATGAAATAAAGGTGATTATATGTTTATAGGGAAGGGGGCATTAATTAAGACAACCCAAAGCCCTTGCAGATTCCTTCTTTACTTTCATATATACTCCCCTTTTTTCACTCTTTCTCTTCTCCTTTTTCTCTTCCATTCCTTTTTTTCCTAATATTGCATGTTGTCTATCTAACTGTTGTATAAGATTGTGGCTACATTTTGCTGTACATTTTTTTGCACTCTTTCTCTCCCTAACCAATATATCTTTACAACAACATAAAACATTACAGTTTCCATTAAAGGAAGGAAGAAATTATCAGCAATGTTTTTGGTAAAATACTATATAGTGGAAAATGTCCAATTCTGTCAACCAAAAGAGCTTGCAGAGTTATTTTCACCTTTGAAGTTGCCCATAGCAAGTTTATAAACAAGCAAATCAGTTGGAAATAATATCTTCCATGAAAAAAAATGAAAAATCTCAATTTCAACCTCTAGAAACAGGCCCCTACATGTTAACAGATTGATAGGGTATAGCTCTAGACACTCTGTCAGTTGTGATCACTGTCTGATCCCAGCGATGTAGACTGGTGAATTTTGTTGACAAGTCTACAATGGAACGGTAATCAAGATCAGTCAATAAATGAGACAAATAGTGATATATTTCCATCTAGTTAATGAGTTAAACCAGGAAGAGCTAAAATAAGCATTGGATATTTTTTGTTTAATATTACAAGTTTCAATAAATCTTCAAATGCTTTATCGCTGTCCTGGTTTGTTTCTCTCATTGTGCATTATTTATTTACATGGTTCATTTCATTTTCACAGCTTTTATTAGCTTTCGGGATAAAGAAACCAAAATAAAAAGTATTCAGTAACAGAATTACATCATTTGTAAAAGACCACTTACAAATGTGATTGCAAACAGTTAAATGATTCAGGTTTACAAGGATGACAATCATTGCAAGTTAAAGAAAAACTCCAGGCAAATAAATTCTTAACCCTTGTAGTGGGGTTACCCGCGCACTGCGAGGGAGAAGTGCTCATTTTGCCTAGAGAGCTAAAATAAGAGAAAAATCCAGGCTGGCTGCTAGACCAGTCCCTTCAGTCTGTCTTCTCCTCTGCTCCAACAATGGAATATCCCTCAGCGTCCTTACATCCTATACATTGTATAGGACGTGAGGACTCATAGGACCTTAGAACACCAGAGAGTAGGGGGAAAGAGGCTCCGGGGAATGTTCTAGAAGCCACCTGGGACCGTGGTTCGCTTGTGTATAACTCTGTTTTTTTAGCTCTCTAGACAAAATGAGCACTTAACGGTTGCAGTGCGGGGGTAGCCCCAATGCAAGGGTTAAGATTGTATTTGCCTGGAGTTCTTCTTTAAATTATTAGCAAGTGGTATGCAAAATATGGAAGTTAATAGTGAAAGGGACATACAATAAAATGACAACCTAATACTGACAATATGGGAGGCCGGGGAGCAGCCCATCCAGATCCCACATACAGCTCCATGATTTATGTTTTTTCTTCATCAAGTGAAATACTTGTTAATTTCTCACTCACCCAAATCCAGTTTAATTTTCTAATTATTAAATAAAAATTAACTGCTGACCTTTTTCCCAGGATTTAGCAATTACAATCATGGCAAGCAAGAAGGTAAATACAATTATTCTAAAGATGGGCTTAGAAACATCACA